ACTTCCCTTGAGCAAAACAGAAGCCAAACTAAACTTTTCTAACTTTAGTTTTTCTCAATGAAAGAGTAGAGGTAGATGGAACATGTAAGAGGTGCAAAGCCTGAACAAATTTCAGGCTTGAGCTGCCTTAGCTGTCCATCCTCACTCAGCTGCCACCAGCCTGTGAGGCTCCATGACTGGACAATCTCCAAAGAACACCCCCATCATCAAACCACACAGCACAGGTTCCAGTCTGGCACCGCCTGTCTTCTGTGTCTAACTATCCAGGGAGACAGGTTTTCTGACCCACTTTCCCAACCTACGAAGCTGTGAGGCAGAGTATAGCCGGCTGGTCTGTAAGGAACAGTCTGAGTTGGGAACACTATTTAATGATGTGACTTGCAAATAGTCCAAATTAGTATCCCTAACACTAAACTACCATTCTGAGTCTGGAGACTGCCACAAAGATTTTACTTTGATAAAAAGAAAAGGTGTGGTAATCAGAATATTTAAAATTGTTTAAATTTTTCTCCATTATAGTTGCTATTCCAGCATTCCTGAGTAATAAAAAAACTCTTCTGTAATATCACCAACTGTCAGAAAGCATGAGGGCACGGCTGTGCAAATTTATAAACATGCTAAGCTCCTGAGCATCAGTCATGAACACTCATAGATTTCACTCATCTTTTTGTCTATGTGGTCTACGTGTATGTATGTGTCTATGTATATGTACACAGTGTGTGTCCACATGTGTACATATGTGTGTGGCAACCCGAGGTCAACACTGGGTATTTTCTTCTGTGACTCTCCAACTTTTTTTTTTTTTTTTTTGAGCAGAGGGTCTCTCCGTGACCCTGAAGCTTGTCAAACCTGCTGGTCAGTGAGCCCCAGGCACCCTCCATCACCCCTGCCTGCCCAGCACTGGGGATCACAGTTGTGTGCTTCTACAGTACCTGGCCTTTACATGGCCACCAGTGATCTGAACTCAGATCAGCATTCTGTGCAAGCTTTACCAGCTGACTTCTACCTAGCCTCTTTATTTACCCTTTGAGCCTCAATGATCTTAGACAGAAAAGTAAGGAGGGGCATTAAAGCTTAAAATTTAAAAAAAACCCATTAAAAATACTTCATAGATTTGAAATTTAATAATTCTGTAATCTTTTTTGTTAATCAGACTATAGCAACACATAGGGAAGATGATGAAACACAAAACAGATCATTTGAAGAGAAGAAAAGCACATTCAGAGTTTTTAAAACTATAGTAAATAACATTTGGAATGATGTATAAATACTTAATAAATGAGAAAGAGAAAAACATGGAAGTTGAATGGAGAGTTTTCAGTTCCTAGTTTGGGAACTAAGGCTCTGAGGCCTTGCTGGCCTGGCTCAGAGGTGAGACCCTTCTCCCTACAGTTATGGGACGCAGTGGTGCAATCAAGAAAGAGAAGGAAGTCGGGCAGCGAGAGGGCTCAGTGGGCAAAGGCTCTGGCCACTCAAGGCTGGTAATCCGAGTTCAAGCCCCTGAGCTTACACAAAGGTGGAAGTAGAGAAATAACACCATGGTTTTCCTCCATCCATGCACCAAGGCGCATGCACACACACACACACACACACACACACACACGTCATGCACACACATACACACACGTCATTCACACACATGGACACAATAATAATGATTTAAAAGAAGAAAGTAAAAGCTAGGGAAGGAAATGACAACAAAGTAGGAAAAAGAAAAAGGAAAAAAACGTTCTCTGCTTGGCCCTGTGCAGGTCTCCAGCTTACATAACAACTAGTTAAAGCCTTTAATTTAACTATCCGCCAGCATTTAAGCAAACCTCCCTTTCACCATGGTAGGAACCATATACTTAGTACCAGACCAAGCCTTGCCCATGCCAGAGACTCACAGATGGTACCTGAGGATAAACACATAAAAGGCACACAAACAAAAGGCTGCTGGTGGAAACTAGTTTTGGAAACTTGCTGTGGGACATGTCACTATTGTCCTTAGTCACTTGCCCAGACCTAGAAGGCAATTCATTGTCAACAACATGTGGTCAGTGGAGTCTCAGGACCCATACAGGCCATTCTACTGTGCCCTCCACAACCTCCAACCAGGGAACTCCCACTTGCTCTACCTCAGCAGCCTCTTCCCAGGGACTTCCTCTTGTTTTTGTGTGTTTGCTTCCCTGAAGACTCTCCCCAGCTCCGCAGCACACTCTTTCCTCCTAGCACACCCACGCACTAGCCCAGGATGCCACCCTCTTCCTCCTCAGGGCCTCCTTCTCCCATGCCTGTTTCCTTTCTCTCAACTTAATGAAGTGCCTCAGGTCACCACCATCCACACAGCACATCATACATGAACTGCAACAGGCCACCACTGTCCTCAACAACACGTCACTGCCATTCTATTTCTCTCTCAACTTCAGATCCAAACATGAGAGCATGTTCAAATGTGCTGCAGGACTTGGCCTCTGCTTGACCGCCAGACCCCTTCCCTCTTCTTCCCCACCTGAGATCTGTGGTCCAGCTACCATGTCTCTGTCAGACTCTCAAGTGAAGTGAGCACACGGATGCAGTGTACGGGACAGTGTGTTGAGGGGCAGGGCTGATGGAGCAGCTGGGAACCAGTGAACCACGGCTTTGGGGTCTGAGGTGACGGAGATGCAGAGGAGAGTGGTAATCCGAGTTCAAGCCTCTGCCCACTGAGCCCTCTCGCTGCCCGACTTCCTTCTCTTTCTTGATTGCACCACTGCGTCCCATAACTATAGGGAGAAGGGTCTCACCTCTGAGCCAAGCCAGCAAGGTCTCAGAGCCTTGGGATGCCGAGGAAAGTGTCAGGGATTCAGGAAAGTGACAGGGTCCACCGGACTACAGAGCCAAGGGCAGAGGAAGGCCACAGGCACCTCAAAGTCAGGCACAGTCTTTCTTTCATTTGCTCAGACAGTTAAGACATACAAGGGAAAGGATTTGGGAAAAAAAGATGCTAGTATTTTCTAACAACAACATTCATCATTTTATGCATATCAAAGGGAAATACTTTAAATATTCATATACAACTGTTAAACCAAATGGGGTGGATTAAAGATGACAGTAGGCCAAGTTACTAGAACATTCAGAAAAGTCTGCAACTGGCCGGGTTTCAGATGGTACAATACGCAACCTATTTAAGACACATTTTACCAAATCCTGCCTGGATAAGCAATAAATGCCTGTTTTAAGGTAAGAATTAGAAATTGTCACATAAAACTGGGTAAATATATTCTCATGAGTAATTTAACTTTAAAATAGACAGGAACCAGTAGAAAAATAAGAAATAGATAATAAAAGAAATATTTTATTCCACCAAGAGCTTCAAAAGAATAGATTTTTTGATCAGTACCTGGGATTGGATTGTGGGGAGATTGTAATGAATATTCATTTCAGAGGTAAAGAGGGACATAAAATCAAATTGGCAATATATAGATGAATGATCTGGGCCCTCGGGCCTTCAGTAACACTATAGAAATAAAATCACATTTTAAAAGTTTCTCTGCCACCAAGTGGGCTGCTCTGACCTGCAGTGACCAGGAAGTTAACAAAAGGACTGGAGATGAATACACTGTGCTCTGACTCGGGGGTCAGAGTCCAAGAAAGAGCATTTTCTGCTAATTACATCTACAAAACGAAGAAGCAATGGAGAGCTGAGACACAAGAAAATGAATATTCCTTAAGAGGAGGAAAGCAATAGGGACAGATCAGAGTGGCCAGAGACCTTGTTCAGCAGATAAGAAATGGACAGAAATGCATGAAAAAAAGACTGTCAGTTCTCACAAAGCTAGCTTAGTACAAGACATGAAGGCAAAAGAGGAACAGGAGAGTTTCTGGGTGAGCATGCATCCACTCAGCCCTCCTCCGTCACTGTTCTCTGTGGTGGGTAGCACTATGCAGGTATCACTTCCATAGGCCAAGTTAATAGAACAACACTCAGGAGGAAATGGTTAAATGAAGTTCCTCCTTCCCCCTTTCTCTCCATATGTAGAGGCTGCTGGGGCCGATAAGGGAAGATGTACAGATAAAAGGAGTCTGGGTCTTCTCCACAGAGAGCTTCCCAGCCTCACGAGGCTGCTAGTCTCAAAGTCTGACTCCCTTAAACACTGTCACCTCAGGTTCTAAAAACTCTAATTCTAAAATGGAACTGTTTGCACTAAGTGTCACCACACTGGGGTCACTCTCAGTGTGAAAGCAAACTACAATTAAAGGGGGAGACTAGACCTAAGAAACAACGGGCGCACACGCGCGCGCACATGCGCGCATGCGTACACACACACACTCACAGAGCCAGAAGAAAATTCGAACTCAGATTCTTTAAAAAGTTGAAATTTTACTGAGGGACAAAAAGCCTAACAGAGAAAATGAGGGAGGAAAACCCTAAATTTTTAATTTAAAAAATTCTCATATCCAAACAATTGGACTTTGAGAAAATGGAGAAAACTGGGTAAGAAAGTCATCTTAGAAACACCACTAGACAAAATATTCATCCAAATGAAAACAGTATTTGTCCAAGATGCAGAGTCCAGAGTTCCCACAGACAGAATGAACTCTCATCTGCTACATTAAGACTTTCTGGACAATAAAGATAAAAAGATGGATGCATGGGAACATATTGGGGGGACTGATGGCAGGCATCCCTGCTGTGAGGAAATTCCCTGAGAGATAAAACCTCCATCTTGGAAGGAAGCTTCACCCTGCAGGGAAGCTCACTGAGCCCAGAAAGTAAACAACTGAAAGACCTCAGGAAGTCCCTGAAACTGACCAGATTCATCAGGTCCCCACCTCCCCAAACATATATAAATGTAAGGACTGCTGAGACACAAGCTTAGCTCCCCCAAAAGGCAGTTCAGATGAGCTGCCTGGAAGGAGCACAGATCAGCTGAGTGACCTGGGAAGGGCACTCTCCAACATGATGAGCTGCCTGCAGACTGTGACTGTGCCTGCAGACTGTGCAGTGAGCTCCAAGTTCCCAGCTTTGTGTGCTGTCACCTGTGCTGGGGTGGGCTGTGGCAATGCATCTGTCTTTGAGTCATTTCTACTCCTGTAAGTGACCCCTCACCCATACTCCTCTAAGAAATCCCAATAAAACGCCCTGATTTACCAAATTGGATTTGTTGATACCTCTATGTTAGCCTGTCAGTTCCCTATCCAGCAGAGTAGACAGATGATTGTTCACACCTTCCCAGAAACAGTATTACACAATGAGGCTAGAAAGACAGCAAAACAAACCTTCAATGCGTAAGGAAGAATAGAATTCTGTAACAAGGCAAACAGCAAGAGAAAAATAAAGTAAATCAAGAAGTGTTCGCCGGGCGGTGGTGGCGCACGCCTTTAATCCCAGCACTCGGGAGGCAGAGCCAGGCGGATCTCTGTGAGTTCGAGGCCAGCCTGGGCTACCAAGTGAGTTCCAGGAAAGGCGCAAAGCTACACAGAGAAACCCTGTCTCGAAAAACCAAAAAAAAAAAAAAAAAAAAAAAAAAAGAAGTGTTCAAATCTGCAAGATATATGTATTTGAAAGTGATCTCTAGGTTTTCTCGATGTTTCAGAACTACCTGAAAAAGTGATTCTCAAAAATAAAGGAACATATAAGAAAGAGACCACTACAGAATTCCAGGTGAAGACAAACCCAGAGGGAAGAATTCTCAGGATGGCAGAGACAGAGGCCTGGAGATCGGCCCTGTGGGCAGCCTAGAAAAGGTCCGTCTAGATGGCAGCAGCAGCAGAAGAGGAGGAGTTCCAGAAGAGAAACACAAAAGGGGGCTGGGTGGGGGGCGGAGGGGCTGAAATAAAAAGTGAAAAATGTGAACTTATAGTTCAGTTGTAAAATTGAAGGAGTAACCAGAATACAGAAAACAAGGGAAACCAAATTAATATGCAATTATTTATACAATGAAATCCACTTTTAGATTTTGATGTCATTCCAAGGTACGACATTATACATTTATGCAAATGTTCCAAATTAAAAAGTGCTAAATCCGAAATCTTTCTGGTCAGGTCAGTGAATCTCAATGTGTAATGACTACATTGCCGACTATGCATCCACCCGGGTCAGTTCTTCACAGACACACTGATTTGGATGCCAATTGGTATTTGTCATGCAAATGACTATGAGGAACAAAACCGTGAAAATACCCCAGATGGTATCAAAACAGATATTCCTATCTACCAATACCCCCAAATAGTAATGTTGGTTAATTTTGGCTTAAAACCATTAGGAGAAAAACTATCCCTAAAATAGATTGAGGCAAACACAAATTGCCATATCATGGAAAATTATGGAGTCATAAGCTGGGTGATAAAGGGAGAATGAACCCAGGGCAGGTACAGTCACAAGGGACCTGTAGAACCACAGAAGCACTACATACAGCAGCAGGTCTCAACCTGTTGGCCATAACCACTAGAGAATGTGTATTTCCGATGGCCTTAGGAACCCTCAACCATAGCTTTATTGTCATTACTACTTCGCAACTGTAATTTTGCTACTGAGCAGTGTCTCAGTTCCTAAGACCATGAGACATAAGTGTTTTCCAATAGTCATGACCCACAGGCCAAGAGATGCTGGCGTACAGCATGTCACCTTTTTTTTTTTTCTAATTTTTGCTGTAGTTAAAAAGCCAATATAGTGATTCCAAGAAGAAGAAATCAATGAGAAAATCACTCAAGTGATTATAAAAATCCCCTGCATGACAGTGTGGGAACAGCAAACATAGATGCCGATAAACGGCAATATTGAAAACAGTCAACTTACAGGTGTCAAGTGGAAACAGAAGGGTATGTACAAGTCTTGACGTAAGAACACCAAAGTCCTGGGACTGTGGAGACCTTAGGAAATGAACTATGAAGGGTGGTAGGGGAACAAATAGAAAGTCTAGATCCTTCTGTGTGCCATTCATCTTTGAAGTACTTTAAGTGAAGCTTTTTAAAAATAAAATGCCACTCTCCTTGAAAATCAAATAGATAGTTATTTTTCTTTCATTACTCGGAATGTGTAAATAATAAATTAAGCTATAGACAATTTAACTTCTGCAGAAAGAATGTTTAAAATGTGCTTACACAAAGACTGTGGAACACACATTCTGAAGCCCTGTCTGCACTCAAATCCCAACACTGCAACCGAATAGCTCTCAGGAGATCTTAGAAAAATCACTTCCTATTATTTAAAGCCCAGCTTCATCTGAAGAACCTGCTCACCTGTCTCATAGAGGCACCATAGGCCTAAACTGTCTCATAGGCACCATAGCTTACCACCACAAAGAGCCGGTACACAGTATAAGATGGGTTTCTTCAATTGAAAGTAGTCCTCAGTAATGATCAGACTATGTGGAGAGAATGGGAACCAATGCAGAATGGATGCCACTGGACAAATACTTCCTAAGGTGGTAAGTTCTAGTAAGGCTTACATCATAAAGAATAATCCACTTCCACCATGCCTTTTATATGTGGCCACTCTGCCATGGGTGGAACCTCCATAGCTGTGAGCAGAACAAATGTCTTTGCAAGCTGAACCTTTGGCTTGAGAGCAATGGAAAGCGAACATCAATGCCCTCCTGTTTACAGGGCTTTCAAAGTCTCATCTTCAGCTGTCAGGCCCAAATACCCTTGTGTCCTGCCTTTCGATTCCTAAGCCTCTGTCTCAGCACTGCACCCCATCTTTTGTTTGTACCAATCAGAGCATTTCTGACACAGTAATTCCAAAAAGAAAACAAATCTTTGCCTGAATAATGCTGTAATTGGTACATGTCTTCCATTGGTGAGTTTTAATGAATTGTATGTGTGTGTCTGTGTATTTTTCCAGACTGCCAGTTGTAAAACATCCACCAGAGCATCACTGCAGAGGAGATAGTAATTCCACAATAAACTGGCCAATTGCCTTTCAGTGCACAATGACCAGCGTTAACTCCAAACCACAGGACTGTGAAGCCATGCTACACTGTCAAGAACTGTTTGCCTGCTTGATATCTGCTCTGGAATCCAACAACAAATATTTTTGGTAGTTACCAAAGAAGTTCATGCCTTGGGCATATATGAATTTTCCCCAAAAAGAAACTATGGAGGAAACTCTATCCTTAGATATGGTCTCCTGGTACTGTGAATCTAGAGCGGGGAAAATACCAAGATCCCTACTGAACATGAACTAACAATACATCCTGAAGAGTAATTAGAAGGGGGTGTTTAGGAGAAATACTGAAATATTGAGACTTCCAGGAAAAGGACTACACTGTGAATAGGCTATGGTGGGAAATATATCTCATTTGTCTCCTTAAGTCAAATTTGGGAGCCAGCCCCAATCACTGTTTTCTATTTCCCTTCTACTTCCACTTCTGAGGAAAAGCAATAGTCATCTGGCTTCTGAAAATATATATCTGCATTGTCATGTTATTTTAAAAACAAACGTACATTTGAAAAAGTATCATACACTTAGTCTGTCCTGCAAATTTCTCATCGGTTAGACAAAAATCTAAATTTTACTTCTCTCTACCTAACACAATTCATATTGACAAATTCCTATGACAACTTTTTATAGCATCCTCTTTATTCTTAACTCAGATTTTAAAAACTCTGCACCTTTATCCCAGTCAAAATATTAGAAAATTAATTAAACTAACCTTCAAATAAGAAAACATTAGCAAACTGTAAACATAGTAACTCTGAAAGCACTTCGTGGCGGTTAACACTGACACTTAGAAGTACAACCAGCAGCCAGAGACAGCTTGAGTGGTTTAATTGGAAAAGCAAGTGAGCAGGAGGAGCGAGCTCTGTCCTCAGAGCCCGCAACCGAGCATGGTGCTTTATACTTGTAATGCCAGTGCTGGGCAGGCGAAGACAGGCTGACCCCTAGACCAGCCAGCCTTGCCTCACTAGCACGTCCTAGGCCAGTGAGACCCTGTCTCACACCCCAGGGTCATCCTCTGGGCCACTACGCTAAGAGCTCCAACCTCTGTGGGGATGGCAAGTTCGGAAGACCTCGGAGTTGAGGATGCTGTGACACTGAAACCCTTGTACTCTCCAAAGTGACAGGTTCCTTTTTCACTGACAGCTTGGGGGCGGGGACTGGTCATAGGAAGTGAAGGCCGAGTTGAGGGTTTAGGAGTTTTCATTATCAACCACCAAAACCCAGGCATGGAAATGTGGTTAAAGGTCAAGTTGACGGCTGTCACTCAATCTTCCCTACACAACAATGCTTCCACAAAATGACAAAAAGATGAAGTTTAGAAAACTTCCAAATGACCAAGCAGAGGAAGAAGGTTCATGAAAAGTGGTACAATCAGAGAGCAAGGAGGCCCTGTGCTTTCCACGTGCCTCCCCCACATGTCTCTCCATCCCATCCTTTGTAATTGGCTTTATAGCAGCCCAGCAGCACAGGCACGTGTTTCCTGAGTTTAACCAGAAGCTCCGACAAACTGACCGAGTCAAGAACGGAGACATCGAACTTTTACAGGCATCCAGCCAAAGTACACGCGAACAGGAGACTTGTCAAAGAAGTTTTTGTGTAGGTGGCGTTAAATAGAGACTGTGAGCAGAGAAACTGGGCTGGTTTTCCCACCTATCAATACCCAAAGGTATTCAGAGATACCTTTGGGCAGGACTAAAAATGATGGGGGATGGGAGGGATGCACAGAGGAACTTTCTAGTCTATGTTCTAAGGCACAGTGGATTTCAAATTGCAGAAAGGAATTTACACACACACACACACACACACACACACACACACACACACACACACACGTTTAAAGGAGATGCTAGACTATCCCATCTTTAATGGTGTCAGTAAACCTAAGCATATTATATTTGTGTCTGTGTGTGCTGGGTTATGCTGTAATGCTTTCTCTATCTGTAGCTGCAGTCCTCCAAATGTCTACATTACAGTTTTAGGTGGTAGTGAGGGAGCAATTTAGACTCAGAGGGTCCAAATCTGTCTGAATCTGTCTGAACAGTGGTGTGTTCTTCTCCCAGGGTCAAGGCCTGCAGCTTGCTTCAGCTCGGCCTGCTTTGCTGCCTTTGACCTCTTCTGTACCGCCCAAGCTTGATTCTCCACCACAGCCTGCATTACCAGTACATGTTCATCTTCCAGCTGTCTTTGTGGTTTGGGGAACCACAAAGTAGACCTTACGCTGCCTGTCACCCCAGATGCCCATACGCCAAGCTGGAAATTAACCTTTAAGCTGCACAGATCTGAGAAGGTAGAAGCGAAACATCATAGAAACTCCACTCCATCTCATCTGACAGCAGGCTTTAGAGCACAGTGACAGGGACCCTCCTCCATTTCAAAGTTAGCCTTGCCTTTGGGGAAGGTGGTTTACTGCTTCTCTTTACCTGTCTCTCACCAGCCTGGAGACTGCTGAGGATGCTAAGCTGGCTGGCCAAGGGCCTCAGCGTCCACTTGTCTCAGCCTCCCCACATACCAGTGCTAGGATGTACCTGCTTGCATGTCTTCTTGTTTCCTAAAGGCAGAGTGGTCTGGATAAGAATGTCCCCAGAGGGTGGGGCCTTTGAGAACTTGGTCCCCAGGTGGTGGCGCTGTGTGGGGATCATAAAGCCTTGCTGGAGGAATCCGAGGTGGGCTTTGAGAATTTATACCTTTGCCTCACACCCCACTTCCAGTTTGTCCTCTCAGCTTCCTGCTCATGCCCTGCCCGCCACTTGCTACCATGCCTCCATGCCAGGATAGACCCTTAGCCCTCTAGAATCATAAGCCAAAGTCAACTCTTTCTTCCATAGCTTGCCTTGTCATGGTGTTTTGTACCAGCAACAGAAAAATGACTAATACGTGTGGGTTCTGGTGAAAACCCAGGTCTCCATGCTTGAAAAGCAAGCACTGTGCCAACTGAGCTGTTTTCCCAGTCCCTAAAATAATTCTTCTCTGGGGGGGAAAAAATGAAGTACCAACCTACAAAACTGATTTCAAAGCTTCCTATAGGTTATGCTCTGTAGTGTGATGCTGTGCTGGGGTTCACTGTGTGCCTCTGGGGAAGATGGCAGTTAGGGATCATCTAAGATCACAGATCAGCTTGAATCATGGCCCACTGCTTGTGACACTTCAAAGTTACTCCATTCACTTTGGAATAAGTTTGAAACCAGCCTCCCACTAAGGCCTCCATCATCCAGCCCACCCACGGCTGTACTTGCGTTGCCCCCTAGCCCCTCGAGAACATGAACCCTCAGGTAGAACTGTCACCTCGCTGTCTGCTTCCACATCTTACGTGCCCTATTTCTGCCTAACCTCGGGGTGTTTTCCTGTTACTTCCACCTGTTCAAATCCTCTTATTCTTCAGGGTTGGGCTAAAGTGCCCCTTCAATCAGAACAAACTTCTTCTACCTTGGGATTCTAGACTTTGCTCCACTGATACACATTATGCCCCCGTCCTCATCTCTCGCCCTGCCTGCTCCCATTTTGTCACAGGCCACAGTCTTAAGAAAAAAGCTACCCAGCATATACTTTAGGTGTTGACTGAACAAGTGCACACGATTGCCCATATATGGAGAAGTGTGTTTGTTTATCACGAAAGGTTAGGGCTAAAGATTAAGGAAGTTGTCCAGGGCAAGTGGCACTAGTGCCAGAATCTTGCGTACAGAAGTTCCAGCAAGCATGGGAAGAAATCAGTGTGAACGTTGACTCTTATAAAGGGAGAAAGGCTTCCAACGACAAAAGCAGCAGAACTGTCCGTGCGGCCTAGCAGAAACGCCAAGTGTGCGCTTAGCTTACTCAAATCCAGTCTCCTAAGGACGGTCAAGGTGTCTGTGTTGTAAATGGATATGTAAATACCTTTAAACTGATCTAGTTGCTTCTTCATTTGATAAGCATTTATCAAGTAACTTCTATATACTCAAACACTGAGCTAAAAACAGGTCTTCAAGCAGTTGTAACTGAAAATGCAAAGAAGGTAACAGGACAGTAAGGGACCCCAAGTCTTTTCCACCAACCCAAGTGAAAATCGTATTTGTATGCACGCAGTTCTGCACTACAGACGGTCAGCACGCAGTAGGAAGAAACATCTAACATTCTTTCAAGGTCAGACAAAATCAAGTGGCTGAGGAGATGGCACATCATAAAATGATCGACTTGCGAACATGAGGACCTGAGTTCAATCACCAGAACCCATGAATGAAGATGGATAATCATAGCATGTAATCCTGGCTCTCTGGAGGAGGAGACAGGTGGATTCCCTGGCCTTCACAGTCAGCTAGCCTCACCTACCTGGTAAGTTCCGGCAAGGGACTTAGTCTCCAAAGTTTGGCAGTGCCTAAGAAATGACATCCAACATCTTCCTCTGACATTCACACACATGCATGTGTACCCCTACATACATGTGCACCCACAGATATGCACATGCACACACACAAATGAAATACAATAGTTCAGGCAAACAGAGACACACATTGCAATATATTATCAAACTAAAAAGGGAAATGCAAACACAAAACCTTTTTGCACTATCGTTATTTAAGCTGCAGGAACACTGTCTGACTGCGAAGACAGATAGACAGGAAACAGAATTGTGCAGAGCACACTTCTGCTTTAACACCAGCAAAGCAGAGGCCGCTATTATCATTTGATATAGGTGGTACTTTCTAATGCTTTATGAAAATGATGCCTATTACATATGATCACATGCCTATGAATCTTAGCATTTAACACATATGCCCACCACACTCTACTGAAGCCTCTAAAACTATCTGAAATGTGATTGTCATACTAACAGTGAAATCAGATAAATAAGAAATCCTATTATAATCACAAATAGACATTTTAGGAACACTATTAAAACTGAGCAATAAGTTATCAATAATTATTAACTAAAAGCTTTTTATTATGATATATTTTATAAGCACATTTTGAAATATCCTTACCTCAAATATGTGCCATAGATGAAGAATAATGCCATCATTAGTCCATTTAACATAAAAATTACAGCAACATAAA